TTGGTTGTTTGAACTTTTCTAATGCAAGACGTGGCTGTTTATCAGAGAGTGAAGGCTCTGTGAATATAGCTTGTGTTCATGCCTTCAAAGTCTTAAATAACAATCTAAACTTCAAAACAGTTTTATTTAGTTTTCTTCACAGAAACAAGCAAAATGCTGAGATATATGCCTTCATTTACACCCGTTATTGGTCAAACCTTACGGCTTAAATTAATGGTTCTCCAGTCTCCATAAAAGGTCACCTGTGTGTGAGCCGGCTTACCCCCACCCCTACATCCATGTTCTTTATATCCTGGTAGGAAAAGCTACGCAGCTTTGAATTTGTGGTAGGAATGTGACCTTCTCTCAGCATTCATCAGGGCAGGCTTTGAAGTGCTGCAGTCCCTGGCAGAGACTGGATGCTGTGCTGCCCTTAGTGCATCAGCAGACGTGTCCAGGGAGGGGGACTACTGTAAGACCCCCCCAGACAAAGAGCTCTCTTCATCTTGCAGTATTATAGCTGTTCGTCAAAGGTCCTGATCCAAGAATGTAGCGGCTGCTTCTGAAAAGTAAGCGGCGGTAGATCATCCTCCTCCTGGGTGAAGCACAAGTTGAAAAAAACATTGAGTGAAGGGTCAGGGCCCCCAAGGGAGGAAGCCAAGAGAGAGTGGAAGAAAAAGAATGGGTCTTCCCTTCATAATCCTGCCTTCAGGACCAGATTTCTGGTCTTAATGGAAACCAATCATCCTGTGTGTATATGGAGTTGTACACGTAGCTGTGTATATGAAGTCTGACTCCTGACTCCTCACACTAAAAATCTGCGTCCTGTATTTATCTATACCCTACAGACGAAGACCTGCTCCAGTTTGTTGGAAACCTATGGCGACTTAGAGAGCTTCACAGTCCCAGTGGCCTGAGCTTGGTTGAGGGTCACTTTCATGCTAATTATTGAAATAAGTTGCATCAAAAAGTATTTTAATGTGAAGACGAATTCCACTTTGGAATTTTAATTAAACCGTGTCTATTCCCGAACTCAATTTTCTGGATTGACTGCATAAAAATGAAATTGACCTCTTTCCCTTCTCTTACCTCTCCTTGGCTCCCCGGTCAGTCTTCGTCCACCTCAGCTCAGTGGAGCGTCAGCCGGGTGATTAGAGACAGAGATCCTAGAGGAGAAACACTCTGTCCTATCACACCAGCCTGTCATCCCACAAAGGCAAAGTGTCATGGAGCTGGAGTAGTTTTTGACTTAGGACACGCATTTTAATAACTCTAACATCTGTGGTAGCTTTTAAGATAAATCACACCTCAGTCTTACCAGAAGTGGGGCTAAAAATGTATTTTTAATTTTTTTCCTGAGTTTTTCTCCAAAGCAAAGCTCATGGGAACATTAAAATAAAAGATACTTCCATTAGGAGTATTAATATCCTCAGTATGTCCCATGACAGCCATTGCATTAAGCTTCTTTTTGTTACATAATGGTAAATGGACCTGTACTTGTATAGCGCCTTTCTAGTCTTCCGACCACTCAAAGCGCTTTTACACTACGTGCAACATTCACCCTTTCACACACATTCAAACATGCAAAGTCCATCGAACAGGAAACTAACTCATTCATACACATTCACACACCGATGCTATCTGCATCGGGGAGCAACTTGGGGTTCAGTATCTTGCTCAAGGATACTTCGACACGTGGCAGGAGAGCCGGGATTGAACCAACAACCTTCTGATTGGGGACGACCCGCTCTGCCTCTGAGCCACAGCCGCCACTGTAAATGTAAATGTGATTGCAATTTTACATGTTGGTGTCCTGTGAATATATGCCACAAGACTAGTCTTACTATTTGGACAGGTAACATTTGTCTTAAAAATCTCAACCCGGCACTAGTCTGAACTGAATGCTTTGACATTAAAACAGCTGCAGAAGCATTAAGTTCAACCCATCGTTGGGTTTGAAATTCATGTTTTCTTTTCAAAATCATTAAAATTAGGGCGCCCTGAAAGCTTGCCTGGTTGAGTTTTTGCAGGTCCTGTGCTGCGTGTCCTCCCCTCTCTCCCTCCCTTTCCTGTCTGTCTTCAGCTCTCCGATCCAATAAAGGCAAAAATACTCCAAAAATATTATATAGTATACAAACCACAAAAACTACACCATTTACAATATAATAAGATGTTCCTTTATTGATCCTCCATAAGAGAAAAGGGGAATGTACTACAAAGAATAAAGAAAATACAATGACTATATACACTATATGCAGTAACATAGAATATAATGTGGCTTGTGTATATGTACGTGTGCACTGTTTCTAAAGGTATTGTGTATGTACATTTGTAAATTCTGTGATGTGATTGACAGTTTGATTGAGTGGTGTGTTTAGAGTCAGTCAGTGGAGGAGGTACTGGGTGCTGTGGCACTGTGGTGTCGGATGGCTGATTGCATGAATGAGCCTCCTAAGCACTTTAAGGCACGTAGCTGGATGAGTCTGTGGCTGAACATGCTAGAAATCATAGCTAGTAACTGAAAACAGAAATAATCATCAGATCCTCAAATTTCCATCTGCCCTTTAAGAAATTATGTTGGACAAACTAAAGCTAAGTTTAAAATTGTGATAATTTCATCAAAATGGCTTGGCTGGAAATACCCAAGACAACATTTAGAGATTTAACAGATAAACATCTGCCACTGATATTGGTGAGTGCCATTTTATTTACTATTTTTGCCGATAGGCCCATATCAGACAACAAGGCGAATATCAGCCGATACCGCTGAGCCAATATATCAGTGCATCCCTATTGAAAAGGGCTGTTTGAATCCTTATTTATTATCCACTGCACTACCCCTGTTCTTCAGATACCTCATCTAAGTCAGTATCAAAACTGATTGTGAACTCGGATAAAAAGAATAACAGTCATGACTCATCAAGCATTAACAAACTTGTAAATGACGTCTCTGATGACAAAAGACTAAACCTTTTTGTTGTATACCCCCTTTTCAGCAGATTGTAATGTGTTATTTTGGTTCGTGAATACAGTTTGTTCTCAGGGTGTTAATGAGAGTTTTATCATAACATTGTTTAAATCCTTTCTCTATCCATATAAAACTAATTACAAAACTGTTATGTATTCGTCATAGATTTCATTGTCTCCTGTTAGAAAATAGTCATATCATGTCGTCCTACTCCCATTTCGCCGCAGTGACCCAGATTTTCCACCTATGACAGCACCAGTTTTGGAAAACGAAACAAAAAAAAAAAACACTAGTGGAGTCTGTGGTGCACAGCAAGCTCCCAGGCGCCCCCCATCCCACAGTCTCCTGACTCTGGAGCTTTTCACCGGGAAGGCAAGCAGCGTGTGACAAACTGGTGCGATTATGCGCCTGTCTGCTCCATGCGTAATACATTCAGAGGCCCGTCCCATTATGTAATTTGTGGGTAATGACTTGTCCAGGCCGGAGCAGAGGGAGTAAAAGGAGAGCTGGGAAAGCATTCAGTGGAGTGCGGCAGCAGAAGGCCTGTGGGTGGTAGAAACACTAACACGCACACAGAATGGTCAAAATAGCTGTGAACAAAAGCTGTTTTGTCTACTGCTGAAAGTTTTCATACCCCTCCTCCCCATTGTTAATGGTGACCTCTCCACATGTTCGCTCGCCATTTTGTTCAGACTTATCCAGGTGAATGCGTGTAAGCTCTTGCTTGCTTTACCTTTTCCTTGCATCATGCTGTTTTTTTGCCGAGCACAAATTGAGTTTGCAAACTGTGACAGTGTGTGTGCAGCATCAGAGGAGGAGGCTGGAGATGACATTTATTTCTCTCCACAGGTACCCGCCATTCTTTGATGACAATCCGTTCGGAATTTATCAGAAGATCCTAGCCGGAAAACTGGAATTCCCACGCCATCTGGATTTTTATGTCAAGTAAGTTCCAGACACCAGGTCAGGGTCAAATTACACCAAGAATCTGTATGTGTGTGTGTGTGTGTGTGTATTTTCAGCATACATTAATCATTAATGTCTTTGCATATACTAGAGAAGTCACTTTCTAAAAGTCAAGTTCAAACTAATTTAAGTTAACACATAATTTGTTCGCTATAGGGTAATTAATCCCCCCTCCCTACAGAGAGTGTTTCACCTTTCAGCACAGTCTTTATATTTTCCCATGTGGTGTCGTACAACTGCACTGTGTGTCTGGAGATCATGATGCCACTGTGAATTTAATATGCCGGCCCCAGCTCTGTCATTATCCTGACAACCTCCTCCAGAAACAAAGCCAATGAGCTGCGTATCCTTCAAATAAATCTTGCTATCTCATAGGTGATTGCCTTTTTACGAGCTTCTGGCTTCTGAGGATGAGTGTGGTGAAAAGGAGGCTGTCAGACAGACTGGTGTTCAATTACAGGGAAATTCTGGTTCATAACAAGTGGGATTAGGACTGGAAGATGTGGCCTAAAAATAAAATCTCCAATTTTTACAGACAGAAGACACTATATCTTTGGCAAAGTGGAACACCACCACATCTGTAATGTCTTATCACTGGGGCCCCTTCTTAACATATGAGATGGGATGATTCTTTACGTTCATGTGTGCAGATGAGTGAATTGGGGTTGTTTTACATAGTCATTTGCAACTGTATTATCCCCAAATTGTAACATTCATAGTTTAAATCTCCATCCTTTTGTTTGTATCATCTTGAAACTTAAATTATCGCCCAGTTTTATTTTTATAGTTTAATCTTTCATTTGTATTTTCCTTTTGCTATTGGAAGGGAAGGGTGAAGCGAGGGAGTTGTGATCTGCAACTACACCGCTAGATGCCAGTAAATCCTACACACTGGTCCTTTAACTTTAGAATGCAAAGCCTCCCCCAAATTCCTGCTGGAAAAAAACCTCACGAGAACCTCAGTGTCCTTTTCTGTAGCTGCCTCCCTAGTGCCAGGACTCATCATCTATCACATCATTTGAAACCAAAACCTGGTCTGCAGGTGGACGTGTTCATAAGCTGTGGCCAGTCAGGAAGTGATAGTCTCCCTACTGAGGGTCACTGACACACTCCACCCAACCCACCCTACCATTTAAATGACTATTTAAGCATAATACTTCAAACGATTGTGGGGGCCACATTGGCCGTGGATTGGGGTCTCTAAGTGCTGCAGCGTCCCTTTAACGTGGGGACAATGAGCTCCCTGGAGCTAAAGAGGGGCTTCAGGTTGACCTGCAGTCGCTAATGACACACCCAGCTGATTTGGACCGGTTCCCCCACCGCTCACAGTGGCCATTAGAACAGCTGGAGGGCACAGGAATGTGCAAGATTACAGGCTCAGTGTACTCTGGTTGTGTGTGTCTGTGTGTGTCTGTGTCTGCGTGTGTCTGTGTGTGTCTGTGGTTCTGGTGTGTGTGTGTGTGTGTGTGTGTGTGTGTGTGTAGTGTGTGTGTGTGTGTGTGTATGCACTCACTCAATCAGTCCTGACACAGTGGCCCCGGAGAGCCCAGACACACAGTGCTTCCCCTGATAATTCAGCGAAGCCACAGCTTCCCACTGTTAAGCCATCTATCTTGCAGCCAGCAGACAGAAGGATTTTTAATATTTCCACCATTTATATCACTCTTACACAGTTCCACGTCACACACCGCCATCCATCAAGAAGTGAAAGGCCTTGCAGAGGACTATAGGCAGACCGCTGCTTCTGAGCATAGACAATCAGACAGACTGGAGAACTGTCCCAGGGTGACCCCAGCAGTAAAAGTCTTGTATGGCATTAGTCATAAAATTAGTTGGTTGTTAAGGAGATGTTATGGACCTGTTGACATTGTATTGGCCGACCTTACACCCTCTGCACCACCTCCATGTCTTCCTCTGCTGTCTATATGTGGTGGGAAGCTTGTGCGTAATCCCTGAGACGTGTTTGGAGGCTGAGAGGAATTTCTTAGAGGGACTTTAATGAGTAACACTAAACATACTTTAAAAAGCTAGTGTCACAGTGCTCTTGAGCAACTGCTGCAGTGGAGCTCAGCCACTTGAATAATAAAGAGCTCAGTTCTACTCTTTCATGAATAATACAGCACAATAACTCTTCAAGTCTGTGGTGAAAGAAAATTAAAAGAGAAAATGTTTTTGATCTATTTCTAAGGAAAATCAGGCTTAAGTAGATGTTTACAGTAAATTAAAAACAAAACACAACACAAAACATTAAAACAATCAGTGAATATAAATATGGAAAGGCTCAATTTGAAAATAAAGCAGCTGAATTGACATTTTTGGTACTGTAACAAGCTGAAAACATTGTTAGCAAGCAGTTGTCTGTTTACACGTCCAGCAGAGAGACTGCAAACAAAAGGTGACTTAGAAAAACAAATCAATTTGAGAAATCAATAAAAATGTAGGTATTTTAGCATCTATGCAGAAATGAGGATAAACTATGAATTATAATACTCTAACTGTTAGAAATATATGTATACATAAATGTTGATATTTATGAACATCAAAATGTATTTTTTTGTTTTATTGTTATTTATTGTTTTATAACGTGAATAACTTTTGCAAACTTCACCTCATTGGAAGACCCTCCCTACTCTGCCTCTGATTGGTCCTAATGCTTTAACGATCTCACCACTCATGCCAGAAGGGGAAAAAAAATCACGTGGGCCTTAAAAAAACAAAAAAAAAACATTATTTTTTCATGTCTCATTTATGAATCTCGCATTAGCCTGGCATGTTGAGATAAATGTAATTACTTCTGTGACCCAAACAGCCCACCAGCCATACTTGTAGGCAGCTGGATATACTTGTCTTTAGCAGCATAAAGGCTTTCTTAATCAACCAGTGAGACGGCAGTTTGGAGGGAAAAAATCAAGTGTGAATGAATAACAACTAACACATAATCTGTTATGCAACACAGGTAGCCTTATCCTAAACTAACTTTATGCTGTAAAATCGATGTAATGCTGTTCATTTGTGTTGTCGAAAATGGCTGTAAGGCAGCTGCTGCAAACAGACTTACTTTACAAAATTCAGAATTAAATTTCAACACTACTTATTAACTGTCTGCTGGTTGGTGCTGAGCAGGTAGCGTACAGTGGCTTTATCAGAACTTTTTCACTGACAACATCTGCTGCTGGAAACATTAAAAACCAACTAACAGAAGCTTTTTAGAGCTGCTGAGGGTGAACTGCAGAGTTGGTGATAATATTCTTTAATAGTGATTAGTGCAGCTTAAAGGGGAAAACCTCAAATTGTAATTGGAAAAGGGAAAAGCAAATGTTGTTGAAAAAATGAACCAAAGAATATATCTTTTTTTTCCCCGATCTCCCTTCTGGTTTTGTCCCCATCATTTACGGATGAATTCTCCTTCATGAAATCCATGAAAAGGCATAAATACAAATACCCCCCCTCCCTCCCCGGTGCTGATTAAAATATTTCTCTGTGACATATCACTCCGGTCTTTAAGCATAGGAAGGATTCCGTCAAAAACAGAGAAATAGCTGACTTGTCAACATCCAGCCGCTGTATTTATGAGCCTGTCAGCAGCTCGTCGGGCGTGAGATACGGCACCTTTATCAAAAGCTCTCTGTTCGTCAGCAGCTATCACATTTCATCCGAAAGCCTACACTCTGCCATTTTAAAACCCCTGTGAATCATCCTCATTCTCTTCTCAGAGATGTCTACATCACGTGTACTAGTCTCAGAAAAGTCCTGTCTGCAAAAAAAGTGCTCACTTTCTTCAATTAAAAGATTGTCAAAGGGACACAACTTACTTAGCCACCCCTCGTCACCTTCAACAGGCTGTCAGGCTACCTTTGGTGAGGGTGCATTTGTCATTCTGACAGCGCTGGGGAGGACCATCTGACAGTTTTTCCTTGAGAAAGAGAGAGAGGGTGGTGGGGGGGCACATGTACCGCTTTGGATTCATTCACTGTTTCTTTTTTCCCCCAGAGACCTCATCAAGAAATTTCTGGTCATTGACCGAGCCAGACGGCTAGGCAACATGAAGGTGAGTTGGTTAGACTTCGTGTCTCCCTGATACACATGGCAGCTCACCATATTGCATACCTTCAGTAAGTAGTTTGACGTCAGCGGTCTGGGGTCCAGGACAGGACAGGACAGGCCCACAGTGTGACTGAAGCTCCACATGGTTCCAGTTAGTCATAAATGAAGAGAAATTTATAAAAGGATTGTTTGGACTTTTCCCCTTTCAGCAGGGTGGGTGTCTTTCTGTGGGTGTTTCCATTTGTAATATGTCTGACTTGTAATCTAAATATTAATGAAAGCAAGTTTACAATGTGTTTTCATGCCTCAGATATTGAAATCCAATCTTTGACCAATCTACAAGGAATAATTTGAGATAACATATTATATAATTATAATATTATTCTCTTTCTTCAGAGAATTGATTAACCAGTTTAGCAATAATAATTTCTGCCTTTAGCAATTGAGCCTTCCTGAAGTCCCGCCCCTTTTTGGACTGTGCTCCACGCAGCAGAACATTTAATTGATAAACAGTTAAGCAAGCCACGGTCAACTTTTTCCTACCTGTGCTTAGATATGCTCTCTGCTAGGTTATGATAGGCTAGTCTATGTTGAATAGACAACCAAGTTTTGAAGATGGCTAAAAGATAAAACACATCAAAACTTAAGTTAGGTAGCTAATGTTAGCAAGCTGTAGCTAATTAGCTAGCTAAAAGGCATAACTCATTAGCTAGCTAGCATTTTGCTACAGTACAAAATACTAGCTAATCTACATCAGTATATTAGTTAGCTATCATTTTACTAACTTACTAACTTAAGATGTGACTGTATATTTGTCACTTTTGTCTTACAACCATCTTCAAAATGTGATTGTCTTTTCAACATAGACAATCCTAGCACATAGCATATCTAAGTACAGGAAAAGGAGAAAGTTGGCAGAGGATTGTTAAACTGTTATTGGAGCTCAGAGGAAAAAGGAGCGGAACTTAGGAAGGGTAGATTTGACCCCATCTTGACCTTTTCCATCCAACTGCTGCTTCATGTGCAGCGAGCCTCCTTTAGCAAAGTGAACTGTTAGTCTGGAGTGAATTAATCTTTTTGACACCCTCATACCGAGTCTGTCTTCTGATTATGACAGGGATTAAAAAACACATTAGTCCGCTCCATTTGACACTTTAGCTACACTACAGGACCTAAACACAGAAGAAGGCCTGAAATGTGGGTGAAACGCATTTCCACTAATTCCACTTTCAGTGATCCCTTGGAGGAATTACAGAGTGGAAAATGGTGTGTACGTTTTACATTTTACTGGGAGCCTGCCACTTCATCACTCATCAATGGGAGGCTGTGTAGATTCCCATTCAAACTGGAGGACTGGAGCATTTCAATTAACAGTAGTGAAAAGAGCGGGAGACTGAGAGCTGCTCTCAATAAAACAAATACTCCTCTAAACCCAGTGATTAACTCCACATAATCCCAGACAAGATGATATTGATTTGTGGCTGCCAATATTCCAGTCACATCGTTCATTAACAGCACTGATGCTTCTGTGCACTCACAGGCTGTCTTTCCTCATTTACAGAGGCTGGACAGTGCCACTATAATAACAGAGTTTAATTACAGTCGGTTCATACATTCCAAAATTCTAAAAAGCTATTATAAATGTATTTAATTCATTTGAAAAAGGAACTGATAATTATATATATCATATTTCCTCTTCTTTCACTGATGAAATTACATTACCGTCACAAAATATATTTTTTAAAGGATTTTAAATGGTATTTTTTTGTCTCATTTGCTAATTTATCTACCGATCATATTCCATCTCGAAGTTTATGTACAGTTTTAACTCCATTTTTGCTTTAATTTAAAGTTGTGTAAGCATTTTAATATCATCCAATTGATTATTATCTCATTTGATTTACAAAGTCCTGATAATATTTTATTTTACCAACAAAAAAAGAAACATCTATCTATTTTTGCAAAATGCAAATAATATGTTAAATCTGTTTTTTTTTACCCTGTTATAAAATTGTATAGATTTTGTTTTCTTGAAAAATGTTTTAAATAACTCACCTTTGACCTACATATGCAAAATACTTGCTCAACTTACAAGGCTGTTATTTAGTTTGCAATAAAAACAAGATAACATTAACTAAGAGTTTACAGCCATGCTAGCAGCTTGGTAGCGCTTACTTGAGCTAAATGCTAACACCAGCTTGCTAACATTCTAATTATGATGATGCTAACATGCTAATCTTTAGGGGTGTAATGTTTTCCATGTTCACCTTTTGTAGTTTACATGCGAGTTACAACTAAAGCACAGCTAAGGCTGATGGGAAAAGTGTAGTTTTGTATTTTAAGCAAAGTAAAGGACTAACTAAAATTTTGACCTGATGTTGGCACAAGAGGAAAAGTTGTTAAACTGATCAGAATTCCTTTCGTTGTAATAGAGTGATGCGAGGATGATGTGTTTTTGTAGTTCAACCCGGGAGTTGGTGTCGACAAGAACCAATGGGATTTTGGGAGCTCTGGCTAATAAGGTCATTTTTTATTTAGCACAGCTATAAATGAACTACACCACGGTCGCATGACTTTAACGTCATCACCACGAAACTTCCTATTTGTAATTAAATCTTCTAATTAAAATCTACAAGTTGGAAAGTTTGAATAAGAATAGGTTGCGTGTGAGTGCGAGCATAAACACAGCAAGGCTGTAAAGGTGGACTAGTGAGTAATTAAGTCTCAGCGTTTGCCGTGCTGATGTTTAATGTCACCGACGACCTCTGTAGTCTCATTTAGCCACTTGTTGGCAACTGCGTTTTTTAAGACACGAGTAAAAGCTTCAAAATTCTCAGGTGGGGTATTTACTGACGGATTTTTTTATATATTCTAAACGTGAAAATCTGTTAAACCACATTAACCACAGAACTTATTTCAGGCATCGAAGCAAATCATTGACTCAGAGGAGAGGGAACTGGAAGTGCTAAAATGCTAACTGAGTTCCATGTTTTGGTACTCTTGCGGCACTGTATTCATCCAATAGTTGTGCAGGTTTCAGTCAGACCAAAGTTGTGGACCGAGGGACAACATTGATATCCCTAGAGCCACGCTGCTAGCATGGCTAAAAACACAGGTTATCCCACACGGCTACAAACCGTCATCCACTTTAATTCTCAGTTTGAGCTCATACAGGGCAGCAGCAGTCCCCACTAATTTATCTGCTCCCACTGTTTGTATTGACAAGACATCAGACTGACATCTGCACACAGCTGGCTAGCTATAGCTGTAGGAACAAAGTGCACACTGTTCGCTCCACTCCCATGGCTTCACCTCTCATAACCAGAGATAATATCTCATCGACATAAAGAAAGCGGGAGCTCAGATCAGTTAAATGAAATGAAATTAAAATTAAGTCTAACCCACAGAGCAGCAGCAGGAGCTCTGATTGGCCAGCTGTTGAGTATTAGCAGAAGTTGAGTGTTAGGTCTGGCCTATCAGAGCTCCTGCTGATGGTCTGTGGGTTTGCTTTAAAAGGTGCATTTTCAAATTCTGCTATTATTTTATCATTTAAAGACCATGTTGAACCGCCATGTTTCTACAGTAGTCCAGAGGGGACAAAGCGCACACTAGCTTTAGAGAGGGGCCACCATGGTTTCTCCTTCACGCTTGGAAGCGGAGGGTGAAGGGAGGGAGTTTCGATCTGCAACTACATCCCTAGACCTATAAATGTAATTCATTTTTTACCGTTTAAAAACTGTTAAAATCGAATTGCCTTTGTGCACTTTAGACTGTATTGACTTTATACTGAAAGAAACCACGGGAAGAAAGAGATGAGTATCATGTGTGTTTAGACTTTGTTATTCCCAGCAGATTCCTCCAAACAGGAGATCCATTAATTCAGTTTCTAGTGTTAGTGTGAGACACCAGCTCTGTGGTATCTGTTGTTGTTATTGAAGTGAAGATGCTGGCAGATGATATTTTCCACCGGTTATTTTTTCTTTCTGAACCTTTTCATGTTCAAAAATGCCCAGATGTTTATTGTTGTTATGGTGGGAATCTGTATTTAAACCATCCTGGGATGTGACGAGTGTCCACTGAAACAAGGCAGATTGCTGACATTTTTTGAGGCACGCTTTTACTGCAGCTTTAACAATGAATAAAACTGGCCATCAGAACTCATCTTTATAGGAGCAGCAACTCCTGACAGGCTGGTATATCATTTTTAATATTACCTATATCACTACAGAAGTCAAAATAAAAACAACATTGGGTCCCATGCAAGAAGCAGTACATACAATGTTTCTCTTATTTTTGTTTCTATCCAAGATTTGTTCTTATTTTCTTAGTACCCACTGATTTCTTTGATTCTATCTATCTGTCACGTCTTTTTTGGTGGCATGTCTCCAATTCTTGGCCATGTGCACACCACCCTTACATGTTGTTTATGGGGCATTACCTGTGCAAATAAACAATCGGCCACATGCCTCCAATTTAAGATCAAATGAGATTCATCATTCGGAACACCTGGGTATAAGCAGATTTGGATGTTTAGGAACGTTTGGTGCATCTGGATGTGATTTCTCTTAAATATAAGATACATGCATGTGTATGTATGCACAGTGTATGTGTTTACAGCCATGGTTTCTGTTTCAGAATGGAGCAGAAGATGTAAAGAAACAAAGGTGGTTCAAGACAATAGACTGGGAGGCAGTTCCTCTGAGGAAACTGAAGGTGAGAGCAGTTTTCAAAAGTCTCTGTTTTCTTCAACTGCATATCAAGTTAGTGTTTTGGGAATATAATATTTATAGGTATGTTTTTATTAGTGTATAATTAGCTGAAAATAAAATATGTTGTGTTTGTTACCTTAGAATGATCTGTTTTTATCTACAGAGGGAGCGGGTCCTGCAAGAAATGTTTTGCTTTTCTCTTTAAGTTTAATTTTATATCATGATTTGATTAACTGTTAATGTGCTTTAACCATTAAATCAACATGCAGCAGTGTAGCTGCAACTTGTCCTAAAGCGGAAAATGGACAGCTGAATTATCTTTAATTTATATCGATTTCTTTTTCTAAAACAAACAGATAAGCCAAAAAAAGAAGCTTTAGTTAGTTAACAGAATATAGTGTTGTAATTTGCAATATAGAAAACACTAAAAGACCTGCAGCTTTACAGACTGTTTGACCTGATGGTTAAAGAGAGAGATCAGGTATTTTGAAGTGGTGTTATATGAGGCACTAACTCTTTGACAAATAACATATTTTGGTGATTTTTTAATTGAAAAGATGTAAACACAACCTTTCAATGATATGAAACTTACAATATAATATTTTCAGCAACAAATAAAAACCTCGTTGTGGGCAACCATTTCTACATTGTTAGTACTCCCTGGCTTAGCTTGCAGACAGTTTTTGTAGCAGCTAAAAGTCTATTATATGGTTTTTGTTTTGTTTTTTCCCGTTGTTCCTTGCAAAGCAATATTCTTGGGCTGGTTTGCATCCATAGCTCTTTGAAGATCTACCCACAGAATTTCAATGATATTTAAGTCAGGGGACTGTGAGGGCCATTCCAAAACCTTCAGCTTGCATCTCTTGAGGTAGGCCATGCTGGATTTCGAGGTATTTTTAGGATCATTATCCTGTTGTAGAAGCTTTCCTCTTTTCAGCTTCAGCTTTTTAGTGGAATCCATTCTTCCACCCACCCGTGCACCCTGTATCCATACTCATTGTAGGCGGTGGTCAATGCAGTACCTCATACAACTCCACTTCAAACTACCTGAACTATCCCTTTATTGTCTTACATTTTAAGGGCATTACTCCACAATAATACGAAGGCTAATAGCAGCCAAATTCATGCTACAAGTATCGGCTAATTGGCATCCTACAAAGTTAGTGCTGGTCCTTTTTCAGGTCAAGCCGTTGTCTATTTTCCAATATGGTGAAACCCTGAGATACCATTAGCTTTATTGTTTCAGACCTGCCCTTGAACTTGTACTAAATGTTCCGTTGTCTCCACAGCCTCCCATTGTTCCTAAAGTTTCCCACGAGGGTGACACCTCTAACTTTGATGTTTACCCAGAGGACGACTGGAAGAAAGACCCTCCCGTGCCTCAGAAGGACTTAGAGATCTTCAAAAACTTCTGATCACTCAGCCTGGTTAATTTATTGCTGCAATATCCCAAGAATTGACACAACATATTGTAAAGTTACCATTACAGGTACCGTCATGGAGAGGATCCTTATTTATCAAAGCGGGGGGAGTTATGTAATAATGGCCTCCCCCGGAGACAAACTCCAAATGATTGATACTGTGACGTGTGTCATACAACAGAGATGATTTGCTTTTTATATTTTTATTTATATGACTTGAGTCAAATCTTTTGCTGTTTTTAATTTTTTTTTATCACATTTTTTTCTCTGAGCCTGCTCATATGCAAAAAAAAAAAAAATCTGGTTCCATTGAAACCAAAAGACTGTTACTTTCTAGGTTTAAAAAAGAGAATATTCAGGTCTTTTTTTGATATTATCATGTTTCATTTTGTATCTCTTTTTAAAATGTTCATGCAGTCATATTTATCGTGACTCCAGACTGGTGCTGTAGCTGTCAGCGGGCCAGTAGCTATTAATGTGCGGTTTTAGACTCCTTATACTGTATCTAGTCATGAATCAGCCACTTTATTTGAAAATGCGTGACCCGTAGCACTTGTAAAAGGTGCCTTACATCATAGTTTGATGGGCATGATGTCTCGCAGTTACATAAAGTTCACTTGAAATAGTGCTTTTCTCAGCCTTCAACGCTAATAGAAGTTGAATCATGGGACTGTTGGTACATGTGAGGTGCTGTTGTAGAGAGCAGGCTGCCGAGTGTGCTGCCACGTCTCCTACTGTAACGTTTTCTTCCCCGAGCTCTGTCATTTCCTGTTGCAGCAGCTTTATTTGCAGCCAAAGGACTTTGTTATTACCGTACAGTCACAGCTGTTCTACAAATGAACTACAGACTCTCCCATGACACTTTGTGCTCATTCACTTCCCTCATCATCATCATCATTATCATTGTTGTCGTGCTTTTAAAAGCCGGGTCATGTGAGGTGAATGGCGGATGTGAGGTCAATATTTAAACGTGCTACCAGGAGTGTTTAACTGGTTATCAAACAGTAGCAACTTTAAAGGTCCAGTGTGTAACATTAAGGAGGCTCTGTTGGCAGAAATGGAATAGTATATTCATTAGTGTATAATCACCTGAATATAGTAATTAGTTTATATCTACAGACACTGTGGGTAGCCATCGATGGAGGCTGCCATGTTGAACTACAATGTTTCTCCTGTAGCCTAAATGGACAAACCAAACACTGGCTGTAGATAGGGCCTTTCGGTAGCTTCATGGCCACCGTAGTTTCTCCTACAGACTTCACAACCTGTTCCCTTTCCGAGGTCGTCAAATACAGAAACCAGCAGTTTTGAGTTAGTTGCAACTTCACTGCTAGATGCCACTAAATCCTACACACTGGTCCTTTAACTTCTCACTCTATAGAGCTGCATTACAGTTGACCGACAGTATTCATCAGCATTTCATGTTATTGTGTAGTAGAGGCTTTGTTTGGTGTTTTGGGACAGTATAGACCTTTGAAATAAACTTCATATCTTTTTTTTTTTTTTTGCTGCCATTAAAATCCACGTGATCATGTCATTTTTGTTACTAATCCTTCTTTATAGAACGAACTGTCTGCACTGTAGATTGACAGTGAATAGTGTGAAACATACGGACAGAATTGTCATTCTTGTACATTCTCTCATTGGGCTATGTTCTAATAAGTGAAAAGATAAATAGATTAGAAATAGTAGAGGAATAGATTCAAAGATTTGCCATTTTCTGGAACCCCATCAAGGACCCCAGGTTGGGAACCACTGTGTTAGTAATGAAATAAAATGCCGTTACAGCAACATTTGGAGCCAATTTTATTTGCTGCGTTCTTTTGCAGGAGCCCTCTGTGTCACTACCATCACTTTTCTATCATAGTAGAATGAATGAGGAAGCTGTGTTTTCCACACTATGTTAATGTTAGTGAAAAAAGCCTGTTCAGTAAACAGTTTTGGACATTTTGCCATCATCTTCTTGCCTCCCATTGCCTTCAAGCTGAATATTGTTTTGATACACAGCGGACAACATTTGCTCTCATCAGTGCAACTTTCAGTTCTCTGCAGTGTATCCGTTACCTCTCTGTGTTCTTGTACAGAAGGTGTTTCAAGTGTAAGTTCAAGTTGTTCTCTTAACAATCCAGAAGACGGTTTGTTAGAGCAAATATTCAGCAGGCACCTGACATACTCATCGCTCCATGCATTGTATTCACACATTCTCATCTGGCTGCTGCCACACTTACCACCACCAACTAAGAAACAAAATATTGTTCTTTTTTTTTGTTCACTCTTACATCACAGCTGTTCTGAAGCATTCTTATGTCCCAAAGGAATGAATCCCTCTGCCTCATTAACTGGATTTCTGAGGGCAATATCAATATTTTACAGGTTGATCTATATTTTTTGAACACAGAAACATTTGAGGTGTTATGAAGGTAAACATTTTTAACTATGGCTCCTTTTAAATGTAAAGGGTTGTGACAAATATATGTACTGAGTGCGACATTTTACAGTTGAGAAAGAAACCTTAAAACAACACGATTTATTAAAATGTTTAATTGCATTTTAGCCCCTCACCCAGGCTGCTGTGAACAAATCACACAAAAAAATCCAGAGAAGTGAGTTAACAACAGAAAAAATTAAGGAAAATGATTTCTTAAAAAGAGTGGAAACCCTGTTAAAACCTTTTTAGCCACAAGCTAAAAGGATTTTTACACCGTCCTTAGCCCAAGGCTAAAATCATTCCTAGAACCTTCTTAGCACCAGGCTAAGGGATGGCACAATCCTGGCACATTCTGACCTTGACTTTTAGCAGGGTAATCCCTGAGTTTGCAGGGTCATCCCATGAAAGTCTACCGAACACGGGGCTAAAAGGTGCTTGTGTGAAACGGGGCTAAAGTGAACAGAATGTAACATTTGTTGTGTGTTTCAGTGGAAATTTAACCCAGGGTTAGTAGAAGTGCAGTGTGGATCATATAGCTCTGGGCTACCTGGGTTAAAAGTTTACAGGTTCAACTCTGAACCCAGGACTTAAACCCAAAAATCAGAATCAAGTATCTTTATAAATAATTCCAGCAGCTTCCATTTCCATTGTATTGATTCACCATCAATGAAACACTTAATTTTAAAGGTATTAATCATATCCATCATCCTCCCTTCTACAGTGAACATGTGCAGTACACTATATGGGCCTGCACACATCAGCATGTATTTCCACAGCAGCAGCTCTGTCTCCTGTTTATATGTAGCTTTTAATGATGTAAGAATCACCAATCTTAACAATGCCTGTTATATCACACACCACTTTGTATATATAAAGCTTTTTCTGCTGAGTAGAGGAGCCTGGACTGCTCTCAGTGCAGTGCTCGTCCATTTAGAGAAGTTTTTGTACAATGCATGTAATGTCTGTAACCTCCAGCCCCCGCCCGTTATGTCTCACCCAGTGATATGTTTTACATTTCTCAACCTTTGCCTTTAAAATGCTTTGTCGGTGCAGTCATACATCGTTTTCTAACCAGTACATAACAATGCCTTTTAATATACAGTTACTCCCTTTATACCTATGGAACTTTAAGCAATGGCACATGTTTGTATGAAGACTAAAGAATCTTTGAAAATGTTTGAAAACCTGGAAGTGAAAAGAAAGAAACATGTTCTCTTCTTCTCTTGTCTTGCCTGGTCCTTCCTGTCCTCGCTCTTTCTCTCCGCGTCCTCCAATCTCTTAGCAGCCGCAGGCCAGCAACGCTCTGAAGGTCAGCCATCGGCCTGTGTAGTCGAGCAAAGCTTTCATATTTACAAAATGGAAATCTGACATTTGGGAAATGAACTCTTCATTTCGGCGATGTTTAAAACCTCTCCAGTTCAGGTTTCCGTGACAAAGTGTACAGACTGCCTGCACGCAGCTCTCTGGGGCTGCAGAGGTGAGCATCAGTATACAGGAAGGGAGACAGCACAGTCATACTGTTTATACAGAGAACATGCTGCTCATCTACCCTGCTCAAGGATAAATAGGAAAGCCTCTTTTCCATTTTATTTCCACTGATAACAAAAAGGGATTGGCATGCGAGTACTCAGGCTGATTTCTGAAAGACTTGACACATCTGTAGCTTGCGTTGCAGCTAAAAAAAAACGTCATCTGCACGTCACGCTAGCGAATAAGGTGATGAGAGGTGCACCGTTATCAGTCTCCACTGTTTTCTCACGGTTAATCATCAAACTGGCTGTTCTGTTATACACAAGTTTAATATAGCTCACACTGCACGTTCATTCAGTTTATTTTGTTAAAATACAGCAAACATTACAATACAATCACAATACAAACATCACTATTATGCCTGGTAGCCAGTAGATTATGTGGTACTGAAAGCTTTGAACATTTTCTGTGCAGAATTTTTGCTGTACAATTATGCAAGTACTCTACTTTGAACGAATACTGATGTCCAAATCAAGTACTCATGAATGAACAAAATTAAAAATGTAACATTACAAGACTGATACATTGAAAAATTATAAAAACCTATTCATAACAGAGGAACTAAGACAGAAAAACAATACCTACTGGAATTGTACAATATGTCATTTCTGCTGCTATGGGGATCTCTCGCATCAATCCAATAATAAAAGAAGTTTGGTGACATTGCGAGATAGTTGTTGTCTTCACCACCATTGCCAGTTAGGATTCCTGCAGTGTACAGAAGATTTTTACTGGTAGCAAAATTATCCACAGAGGTCTCTCTTCTTCTCCAAAACAAACAGACCTGGTGATTAAAACCAGTAAAAACACAGAATAAATCAATTTCACCTTAAAAATCAGTGTTTCTCTGATGCCGTTCAGCAGAAAAAGGACAAGTTTGAATATTGTTGGAAACATCTGGCTAAATGTAAGTGCACAACTCAACACAATATATAAGACAGGTCTCGTGTTTATAGACATTTTAATGTGGAAAAATTATATGTGTAACTTGTTACAGGGCCCAAACCTTAATAATTAGCTGCAAATTGATATTGTACTGTCATAATTTAATGAACTCTCACACTCTTTGCCACCTGGAAGTGAAGCTTTATTTTACATTTCTTTATTATTTTTTAAGTAATATTCGTGAAAATAACAATTTGGTTATAGAGTGAGAAATATCTAAATATTCATTGATTTTTTGATTATTGGACATATGATTTATTTTATTTGTTGAACTGTGTATTTGCCTAAAGACTAATGCCATATTTTTGCATTCGAAAACACGTGGTTACACAAGATTAACTGGAAAGAATTGAACACTGTCTCTGTATGTTCTCTAAAATTAGAACCAAATTATGGTTCTTTCCATGGAACTTCTTGAAAAGTATTCCCATAAAATAAAGCCATACCACTCGGAGGGGAGTTGCCCTTTGCCCACCTAGTAATTCAGGCTTGCCCGTTCAGGGTCCCAGGTGATTGGAAAGTGCAGCATGCATTGGGCAAGAGGTAGGTTTTACACACTGGGAAGGTAAGTCGCTGACTGTAAATGTAACCTGTGTGTGTTGGATGTGGGGGAACAGACCAGCTGAACTTTACAAAGAACTTGCTGTGAGGAGACAGTGGTTTCACTGATGAGTCATTATTACTTCAATTTCTAAACATGAAGAAATGAATTAAAAGGTCTGTTTCAGATACATAAGTCTTAAACATTTGACAAAGAAAGGAGTTGCGAGGAAAGAATTATAAGGGATTTTGCAATGAATTTCCCAAAACTTGTTCGGGAGTGTCCCAGACAACTCCAGGAGGTCACTGTTTTTTTTGTCCTCTCGTATGATTAAGGAGACATTTCATTACTGAATACCTTCCTCAGGAATGGTTCTGACCACAGGATTCATCTGCATGTGGTAAGAAATTATGAGTAATCATGAACTGTTCCTGTTTTACCTCCTGACTCTGGAGACTGAATGTGCAGCAGAGACAGATGTGGGAGTGTGATGTTGCCCTCTGTGCATTGATGCTCAATGACTGATATTAAAAATGCTTGATTATAATTCACTTTCTGACAGCAGCAAGGTGTGGGTGGGTTTTTCTTTGGTCAACCACCTCATGAAGAAAGCCCTGACATGGCATTTCCCAGCTGTTACCATGTGTTTTCCAAAAGAGGTGTGACTCCTGGTAGCTGTTCTCATCTGTATCTCCTTAAGTCTAATTGCAATTTAATTCAGTTTTTACATGGATCATGGTCAACTCTATGAGCTTTAATTTCCTCTCTCTATCTCCCAAATCCAGAGGAAGGACTGGTGCTAATGTGCTGAACGCTGCGTTTCAGGGAGGGTTATTATGTTTACAGTGGAAAAGTGAGTCATGTTTTGTCTGGAGTGCCTGCTAGGCTCGCTCCAAGTGATGACAGTCAGGATGGTGGGGCTGCACAGCTCTAATAGTCAGCTAATGAAAGCCTTATGAAGTGCTTTCAAGGTGAATTTGGTGGAGTGACGGCAGAGCCTGTGGGAGTGCGGTGTGATACTTCCCAGAAGGCCCAGTGACAGGAAAACGCTCACAATCAGGAGGTAAGAAACAGCCCCAGTAACAGAACAAAATTGTTTCTTACTCCATTATAGTATGTGATTAATTTAATGCAACATAAATGTCATTTGTGCTATCTTCATATTTTCTATCCTAAACTCAACTCATCTGGTACATTTTTCACCTGAGAGCAATCCCAAAACAGGAAGCAGGAAGAAGATAATCCATCACAGTGAACATCATGACTGCTTTTATTCTTGGAACACTGCATCTTTGTTGAAGCAGCAATAAAAGCAGAAATGATATGTACTCCAGCAAGTTTCTGCAA